TATATATGAGGCCTAGGGGCTGCCCATAACACGCGATTTGATCTCTCGTTGGTGCAGCCCTGCCCCTCTCCCTCCTCCTCTTCTCCCATGGTGCTTGGCGAAGCCCTGCGGGATTGCCACGCTCCTCCACCACCACCACGCCGTTGTGCTGCTGCTGGATGGAGTCTTCCTCAACCTCTCCCTCTCTCCTTGCTGGATCAAGGCGTGGGAGACGTCACCGGGCTGTACGTGTGTTGAACGCGGAGGTGTCGTCCGTTCGGCACTTGATCATCGGTGATTTGAATCACGACGAGTACGACTCCATCAACCCCGTTCACTTGAACGCTTCCGCTTAGCGATCTACAAGGGTATGTAGATGCACTCTCCTTCTACTCGTTGCTGGTCTCTCCATAGATAGATCTTGGTGATTCGTAGGAAAATTTTGAATTTCTGCTACGTTCCCCAACACTGCAGTGGAACACGATGGTGTGGCGGCGGAGCTGCAGGGCATCGAGGCGGTGTTGCGCTCGGAGCGGCAGAACCGCAGGGCATCGGAGCGGTGCTACGCATTGGAGCGGCAGATCTGCAGGGCATCAGCACGGTGCTCCATGTCGAAGCGGCGGAGCTGCAGGGCAACATGCTGAAGCTACGACAGAGCTGCAGGGCATCGGCGCGGTGCTGCGTGTCAGAGCGGCAGAGCTGCAGTGCAACATGCCGTAGCTGCGAGGGGCCGCCGGCGCGGTGTTGGAGCACCGCGTGCCGGTGTCGTGGCTGCAATGAAGCATGGACGGAGCTGCGATGGGCCGCCAGCGCTGCATTGGAGCACCACACACCTGTGTCACGGCTGCAGTGAAGCATGGCCGGAGCTGCGACAGGCCGCCGGCGTTGCGTTGGAGCACGGCGTGCCGGTGTCGCGGCTGCAACGAAACATGGCCAGAGCTGCGACGGGCCGGAGGCTCTGCGTTGGAGCACCGTCGTGCCGGTGTAGGATGCATCGCCGCCCTGCCGGACGCCCAGCCCCCCTGATGACCTTGTGCGGCTCCTGCTTCCACGGCGACTCGTGTTTGTTGTTTAAGTGTGAATCCAACGGCTGTAAGGGAAGGATCAGGTGGCTGTGTGCGGGCGGATGATTTCTCTAAGAAATCATCTGGTTGATCCGTAGCAACGCCCTTAAAGTGGTAGAGGGCAGTCAATAAAACCAGAAGAGCACACGCGTCACGCTTAGAAGGGAAGTAAAAAAGAAGTTCAAAAAAACCAGGTAAATGAATCCCTTACGGCCTAGTATTATACTCCCTCTGTTGCAAAATAGATGACTCAACTTTATAATAAAGTTAGTATAAAATTGAATCATCTATTTTGAAACGGAGGGAGTAGTTATTAGTGTTCTCTATTTTTCTAACGAGTGTATTTGGACGCATGCAGACAGTAGAGGTTCTGCAGGCATGGCCCTCGAGTTAGCGGAGAATAGATATGTTGAAGACTTTGATTCCGGTTCTCAGGTTTCTCTTATTATTACTCAAATTATATTATCCTCTTTAAGATTTGGTTATTCATGTTATCTCGTCAATATGCTACAACATGGAGAACGTGTGCTTTAGATTTAAGCAGCCATACATACTGAAAGGGACACCTTTGGACTCGTCCTTGCTTTTTCAACGGTCTAATTACTCGACGTAAAATCTGCATCCATTTTGGTATGTGATACTGCAAATGTAAATTCAGAACATGGACCCTACGATCTAGCTTGGGTATCTATTCATCATGGTTGCGTACTGCATAAAAATGAAGTATCCTTGTGCTCATATGAGGTTGCCATTGTACCTTGCGTTTGCATTTAAATTGAGAATTCTTTAGCTAAGGTCCCGGTCTTTGTTCGTTCTTGCATTTGATTTTCCACCATGGCTTCCTCGTCCAATAACCCAATTCATTTGTGTTGCTTCCTTTCATTTTATTTCTCCATGCATGCAAATTAGCTTATTCTGGAGCTTTTCCATAAGAAGAGGTACTGTGCAACTTGCTTACGATATGGCAGAGTGAAATTATCCAGTGAACTTAACCGTTTGTAAGTGTCTTGATTGTACTAGAATTTGCAGAATTTTGTCCAAAGTCTAATCAACACTTTGCAAAACTGAAGTTTTTTATTCTGATTTTTTACACCAGGATCAGTTGAGGGTCGAATGCTTCAATGGTTCCAGAAAGCTTCATCCACAATCCTGACAAATATTTCCATTGATATCACAAAGCATACCAAGAATTTGAAGTGAGTACGTTTAATCCCAGCTAACCTGTCAGGTTGTCACCTTTTAGCGATGTCATGAAAAAGGAACATGTGACAGTCATTTATTATTAATCTTGTGGTGACATATGCATGTACTATTATTGCAATACTTTGTATTAGTAATTTGTGTGTAAATGTTGTGTGGAGAAGGCGATAGGGAGACTGACGGGGCATAGAGTGCTTCCGTGTTTTGGGGTATTTAGCTGATTGCTCATTTTGGGAGCACTCAATAGCATGTTGCATCTTCAATTTTATGAAATAAATGCCTTCCTTTGTTTGCTCATTTTCTTTTGATATAAAGGTTTAGATATTAGGTATTTGGTACTCAAGACCATTTAACTTTCTTTTTTCATATATGAGTATAGCTGGATTATTCATGTTTCTTACAATCAAGAATTTTCCCATTCAGGTGGATTGTGAATTATTCCTGACATTTCAGCAAAATATCCGTTATTTATATCTAGAAGATTTTGGGATGAACTCTCGGAGACTCTTTACACTGAGACTCTTTACCCAATGTCACCTCTCTCTCCATGCAGCTCTTCTTTTCATTCTGTCCAATTCCAATACCATCGCCCATGCCCTCGGTGTGTGTGCCAGGACTAAAAAGGATCTACTTAAGATTGCAGAGGTCCCTGCTTAGCTACGTGAAGCAGTTAAATCTGATTGTAAACAAGACTCCTAAGTAGTCTCTACTTTGTATCTCAATCCGAATAAAAAAGCTTTCGAAATCGCAATGTATTTCACTCCTTTTATTTAGGTTAAGCGAAGAACTTCATTTCAGTGAATCTCACTCCTTTTGTTAAAGCTAAGTGCCGATCTTAATTGCACCTGTTACTAAAGACTTGCCCAGGCCAAGTATGCAAGACCTAATAAGTCTCTTTTATGGCCCTTATGGTTTATATTGTATGTATTCCTCTGAACAATGCAAACCATATGAGAAAATAGTATTGGTAGAAAAAAGGTGGGCTAAATGCCACATAGCTATAATGAATAAAAAATATGTCTCCATGTTGCCCAAATAACATAACAAATTATGTCAAGTTGTGAATCTCTGGAATATACATATGCTTTGAAGCTTGAAAATCCTTATGCGCAGCTAAACCATATTTAAGACCTATATGTATACGAGAAATGCAAAGCGTTTCAAGTAACTATTAGTCTAAATTGGGACTTTGCATTCCAAAGTAAAATCCTCATTTTTTCTACCTAAAATGTTAAAGTATTATTCACACTACTAAGTTTTCCTTTGTAAATAAACGTTTAAAGAAGACAAACTGTTTCAAAACACCACAAGTGTGAATTGGGAATTGTTGTGGCATGGTAGACATAACATACAAATATGTTTGTTTTAGCTTAGGTTTCTCATCATGATGACCATATTTTCAAACTAAAACTATACATATTACACAAATGTTTTGTTTTTGCAATCTCAATTTTCGCAGCGTGATAAACATGTTCTAAAATAGCATGGTTTAACAGATGGTCCTTGGAAAATGAAACTATTTTTGTCAACAACATGGCTTCAACGGGTCTCTGCGTCATTTGGCGCAACTGGTCAACTAGTTGCCTTGGGTATATACAAGCTCAAAGGGACGCCTCGAGAGGACACTGACATGGGAAAGAGATGTCTGTACGGACACAGGCGTCTGTATGGCCAAAAGGACGCGACCGTATGGACACATGCGTCCGGTTAGTCTTAGGGTCTATTTGGATTGTTGTCACTATGTTTGCCTTATATTGCCATATTATTTTTTGTCACACTTGCTTAACTTGAGTTCCTCAAATTGTAGCCACACTTTGACTTGCCTAAGGGAATCTTGCCACACTTTTTGTGTCTATGACATGTGAGGTTCACTACTCATAAACAAAATCTTGCCTTGGTGTGGCTAGAACCAAACACCAACCTAACATGATCAAACTTGCCTAAGGTGAGGTGTGGCAATATGTAACTAGAAACCAAACAGCCCCTGCTGTATCTGAGTTAGTTTCAGCTGTCAACCATGCGTAACAGCCAGTCAAAACCAAGTAAGACAGCACCAGCGACATCCCTCGCAAAAAAAAAAGAAGGCACCAGCTAAACACCTCCATAGTTTTGGTAAAACTGAGGGAAAATTACTACAGTTTCAAGAAACTACATGTTCCTTGCCCACGAATTCACATACTGTGGTTTTGGATTACCACGATTTTCTAAATGCTGCGCTGCCAAACAAAGCCCAAGTACACAATTTCATCCAGAGCATTACAGACATTCAAGTACACAACTCAGACAACAATCTCGGACTGCAACAACTGAAATAAAAAGAGACAGCTGATTCTACACATAGTTGAGTCCACGGGCAGTTTCTCAGAATCTGATTCTGTGAGCAATCAAGTTGAAACAAACACTACAAATCTTTTACAAATACTCCCCCCGTTTCATAATGTAGTGCGTATAGATTTTTTGAAAAGTCAAACTTCACAAACTCTGACCAAGTTTGTAGAGAAAACTATTTATATCTACAATACCAAATAGATAAAATATGGAACTACATCTTACGATGGATCTAATGATACATGTTTGATATTCTAGATGTAAATATTTTTCCCCCACAAACTTGGCCAAAGTTTGTGATGTTTAACTTCTCAAAAAATCTATATGCACTATATTATGGAACGGAGGCAGTACTAAACAAGGAGTAGGGAGATTGAGCATGATGAATATTTGTATAGCTACAAATAGTTGATGCAGCATGTGCGTAGATCAGACAATGTCCCTTAAGGTGTCCCGATAACCTGTGACACACCAAGACAGATAGCTATCGACACCCAAGGGTTCATAAAGTGTGCTGTCGTCAATGTTATCTTCAAATTGACGAGGCTCTGCAATGCCATATAGGAGATGAATTGGGCTATTGTCCAGCTTGCCCGTCGTCTGCCCATCAAATCCCAAGTAGATTGCATCTTCACTGATAGATGGGAACACCAAAGGTGAGACTGAAAGGGCACGTTCAATGCCGATAAATACTGCACGTCCACCAAGCCCATGGATGGGCACCATCTTCTTTGATTCAAAGTCTACACGGTACACCTTGTATTTTCTATTGTCATTGCCATTGCATTGCCGGTCCACAAGTATCAGCTCCCCGCCATTGTCCACAATATGCACAGTGTCCATCATTATCGTGGCAAACGGCCTAGTCAAGTTTGCAGCGATGACCAGCCGTGGTGGCTGGTCTGCATTAGTCTCCACCACCATAACAGCCTCGGTGGTGGCACAGTAGAAGCGGCCAGCAAAAGACAGGGCTGGCAACAACCATCTGCCACGAGCAACCACTGTCCAATTCACATCCCCCGGCCTTACGACAGCAAGGGTTTTGATCCATCTGAAATGGACCGCGAAGATGTAGTCGTCAGCAAGGCCAGCGCCCGACACCTGCAACAAATCCCTTCTGCAAGACGCTTCCTTCAGATCACTCTTGGACATCAGAGCGGTGGCAGGTGGGAGATCAACTGCCTGGCGGGTGAGCGGGTTCAGTAGGCGAACCACCCAGGTGGTCCTGTCGAGGAGGACGAGCAGGCCCTCCGTGGTAGGGCCGAAAACGTCATGGCCACAGAGCTCCGGCAGATGTACATACCTTGAGCATCCGGTGGACATATTCATGAAGCGGCAGCGTGGAGAGCCCCCCGTTTCCCTGAGCATAATCCAGTGAAGTGGGTGGAAGCGGCGCTCCAGGATGCAATGAGTGCGCGGATCGGTGCAACAGAGCCGCCACGGACGGCAAACTGCACGGAAGCAGATGTAGTCCGCGACATCGTTGGCGAGAAGGCGCTCGGCGATTAGCCCAGCAGGCCCATCCCCGAGATTCGCCCAGTCCCTCCTATAAGGCCGAGGAGAAGAACCGGGTTGGATTCGAATAGAGCAATTGGAAGACAAATTGCGACGGAAATCGAACGGTACTTACCAATCGGTTTGGATGGAAGTTGAATTGCGTGCTCGCTTCGCCCCCCAAATGGGGATCTGGTCTGAGGAGTTCGAGATATCGTCCTCCGCAGGCTCAACCCGGAATTTCGTCCAGTCGCTCCTAAAAGCCGTTGAAGGATCGGGTTGGATTCGAATAGAGAAACCGGAGGACAAATTGCGATGGAAATGAACTGTACTTACCACTTATAGTGGATGGAAATTGAACTGCGGGCTTGCTTTGCTCCCCAAATGGGGATCTGCATCGGAGCTCTGGATTCGAGAGATTCCAGGAGAGTGGCCGGCGAGAGTTGGAGGTTCCTTTGCCCGCCGGTAGCAGATCAGCAAAGTTTGCGTGGAGGACGACCCTAGATTCCGCATCTTGCCCGGCGGCGGAAGAAGTCCAGAGCCAGGGTTCGGGGAGGGTGGGGGGCTGGGCACGGCTTTTATCTTTCTCGCGTCTCAAATTCTAAACCGACTCCTCCTATCGCTTCGGCACGTGTTCGGCCCGGCCCATTTTTTATTAACAAATAGTTTTTGGACCTTTTGAACCGGGCGTTCCTAAGGGGGTAAGTGGTGGGAGATCCTACTGGACGCTCTTTGCGTCAAATTGGTGTCGCAACGCACAGCGACTCAAACCGCCTGAGAAAAAAGGGAAGCAAAAAAATGAGCCAGGCGTGATCCCAGGAATCGAACTGGCGACCACACATTTGCGACCGCGTCCTCCTTGCCAATCCAGCTCACTAGAGTTTTATACATTTTAACATTGCGTTACTAAATGAACTAAGGACGCCCGTACAACAAGCCAAATCTACTTCGAACACAAAACTCTTTTTTTTCAAAAACAAAACGTGAATGTTTTATTAAATGCGAACATTATTAGTTTTATTCACAAATTTTAAGAAAATTCAAATATTTTTCAACACACAAACGAATTTTGGAGATGCGAACATATTTTTTAGAACAGAAACATTTTTTAAACTACCCAAAAAATTGAACACGAACAAAATTTGAATTTCAAAACAAAATTTGGAAACAAGAACAACTTTTCCACGTGAACATTTTTTGAAAGTCCAGAACAAAATTTGAAAAAATGAATATTTTTTCAAATTTGCAAATAATTTTGGAAACAGAACATTTTTCAAAACTCCGACCAAAACTAGTAAATACGAACATTTTTGGAAATTTGCGAACAAATTTTGAAACGGGAACATTTTTTCAAACTCCCAAACAAATTTATGGAATTTACAAACATTTTTGCAATTTGTGAACGAAATTTGAAAACATGAACATTTTCTAAATTTGGAAAGCTGAATTCCTAAACATTTTTCTAATGCAAACAAAATTTGAAAACATGGTCAATTTTGAAATAGGAACATTTATTGAAACTCACGAACAAAATTTGAAAAAACAAACATTTTTCTTAAATTTGCGAACAAATTTTGCGAAGTTGTGAAATTTTGAGAAAAAACATAAATAAAAGAAACAGAGGACAAACTTCAAAGCGCGAACAAAATTTTAATGCATGAACATTTTTTGAATCTTGAGAATTTTTTTGAAATGGAGAGCAATTTTTAAAAAATTCTAACAAAGTTGCAAGTGTCAACTTTTTTAATAAGTGAATAAAAAATTGAAATCAGGTAGATTTTCTGAATTTCAAAAGTTTTGAACTTTTTTGTGTAATGAGAACATTTTTTTAAATTTGAGAAAAAAAAATTGAAAGCTGTACTTTTTTTTGAAACCTGAACAAAACTTGAATATTTTGAAACAAGTTTGGAAATAAGAAAAGAAAAGAAAAAGAAATAAAATACCAAAGAAAGAAAATTTGTTGAAAAGAGAAATTAACTTTAAAAGGAAAACTGAAAGAAGAAACAGAAAACAAAAAAAAGGAAAAAGAAAAAGGAAAAAAAGAAACTGAAACAGAAGAACGAAAAAAGAAACAAACCGATAAAAAACAAAAAAACCGGTTCAGGGAACCTGCTAGAAGGTTCCCAAAACCGGTGGTAACCGTCACTGGGCCGGCCCAAATTTATTGAAATTCGTCCAGTAGATCTCCCACTTAGAAATTTCCTATTTGAGGCTCTCTGCGTGTAATGTCGCGGTAAGGCATAGAGCGAGGACCGGAAGCGAACAGCTGGGCCGGCCCATCTAAGATAGCTAACGAGGAGATCGCATCTGGTTTTGGGAACGTTCTCCAATGTTCAGGTCTCGGTTTCTACCGGTTTTGGGAATCTTTTAGAAGGTTCTGGAACCGTTTTGGCTGGTTTTGGTTTCTTTTTTTTCTATTTTTCTTTTTTTTTCGTTTTTTTATTTTTCTGTTTCTTTTCTTTTTTTTTCGTTTTTTGTTTCTTTAAATTATGTATTTGTTCAAATTTTCACAACATTTCAAATTTTGTTCAGGATCTCAAATATCGCTTTCAAATTTTGTTTGTGTGTTTAAAAAAAAGTTCCCGTTTCAAAATTTCTTTGCAAATTTAAAAAAAATGTTTGTGTTTTTAAATTTTGTTCCGGAGTTTCGAAAACTGTTCGCAAATTTTCAAAAAATGTCCTTGTTTCAAATTTTGTTCGTGAGTTCAAACAATATTCGTGTTTTCAAATATTGTCGGGGGTTTCAAAAATGTTCCCATTTAAAAAATCACATATCCAGAAAATTGTTTTGGAAATTGAAAAATGTTCTTATTTCAAAAATTGTTTGTGTTTCAAAGTTTGTTCCGGAGTTTCGAAAAATGTTTGCAAATTTCAAAAAAATGTACGTGTTTCAAATATTGTTTGCGAGTTCAAACAATGTTCGTGTTTTCAAATTTTGTTCGGGAATTTCAAAAAATGTTCACCTATCAAAAAATGTTTCGGAATTTAAAAATGTTCTCGTTTTCAGAAAAATGTTCGTATTTTCAATTTGTTAGTTGAGTTTAGAAAAATGTTCCTGTTTCCAAAAAATTTCTGCCATTTTAGAAAAAAGTTTGAGTTTTTCCAAATTTTACTCCCAATTTCGAAAACTGTTCGAGGTTTCATACAACATTCACGTTTTAAAAAAATGCTTTGCAATTTAAAACTCTAAAAACATATAGATAATCGCTTGGTTTGGTTCTTAATCGTTTTCCGGTGCATGATGAATCAGGACTTCTTGTGGAGCACCTGGTCTTGGGTTCAAATCCTGCGTAGCTGCCGCAGGCGTTTGGTTTGTGGGCGAGTTGGGATAAGATAGGACTATATCATTGATGGCGCGCGTTGCTATGCCCGTCCATTTTTACAATATAATGATAGAAATTATGTAAATATGTGAGGACGGAAAGCATGAAAGTACCATCTACATGAACATGTATGGTTGAGTGTAGTTTGTGTTGGTTCAAAAATTAACAGTAGTGAAACCATATTGGAGCTCGACATTGCTTGCATTATCATTTCCCAGTATTTGAGGCAAAAGGAGTGCACCACTGAAACTACATATGCCTACAACATGAAGGCACATGAAGAAATAGTAGTAGAAACATCGTGACGTGTTATGTCTCAAACCACTTTATCATCCACAATTATTTTTGATAGAGCTAAAAATTCACCTGATCATATTCTTCCCTAAGAAAGCCTAGCAGTAAGAATCTAAGCCCAGCTAATATTTGAAAAGAAATGTAGGACACAGTCAAATATAATAGTTTCAATCATGTTGAACCGCATGGGAAAAACAAAGATACAACGGTACTTGTTTCAATCATCCCGAATCGCATGGAAATTGAATAATTGAGTTTCATTTCATTGTCTATGAATAGTTTGAGAAAACTTTCAGGGAGAGAACACAATATTCCAGGTATGCTTCTTCTCCAAAGTTCTGTAGCAGATACCTCAGTTGAAATATCTTTCTCTACAAAAGATTTATTTCCATAAGGTGAAACCATGCCCTAAAATTATTATACCGACTATCTAGAAGTGACATAAACAAAGAACATAGAAAAGGGGAGAAATGCAAAGTAAAAGAATTGGCAATCAACCTTTTTATACCTTTTTTGTACGTGTTGCAGATTATCAACACACATGTGGTGAAAACACGTTCAGATTTTCCATAGTATGCAGTGTAAGATTATATACTGATGAGATGACCCCATGTCCGAGTCTTAACTATGTTATTTGCGACTTCTCTTCATTCGACTGAGGCACGTCAATAGTATCGACAAAGCTCTGAACTGGAGATAATATGGCAGACCACAAATCAACTACGCCATAATGTTAATTGTTTGGGAAACTAAAATTAATATAGGGAATCAAATAGTGAAGGTACCCATGAATCAATTGGACATATTATGGACATAATTTTAGTTTCCATGGAATAAATCACAAACACAATTAAAATTACCTATGTCATCATTGTTTAGAGAATGGATAGATCTGAGTATGAACGCACAAAAAGATACTCATGCAGTTCTTAAGAGTATGCAAGTCTGAACAGGAATATGAAATACCGACAGTGTGATTAGAATGATAGGCTGGACACAAAAAGAAAAAAATGACAGTAGAATTATTGTATTACTTGACATCGATCTGTGGCACAGAAGTACCTACTTAAGTGGGATGCATGTCCATGCTTTCAGCCTGAGAAGATCGTATTTTTATTGTTTTGAAGTGTTAATTGTCAAAATAAATACTACAAGCAACTACCCAAGCCATCACATCCCAAACTTGTCAAATCAATTGTTAGATCAGAAATCCTGAAATTCTTGAACAATATAAGGATCAATGGAGTCTATTGATGAACCATCTGGCCTTAATTGGACAGGTCTTGTGTTCCCTATGTCAGATCCAATCCAAATGCTGAATATAGGACATATTAGTATTGATATAAATATATATGGTCTGATGGGCATCCCTAGCACCCCTAGCCGATATGTTTGGTGACTTGATGCAGATCATGTGAGACCCAAATACTGTCTTTCGGAAACATCAAAGTAGTAAAAATTATGGATATATAGCCCGCAAGACTCCTCCAAACCAACAGATCAGAACGGAAAAGAATTCTATGAGACCAGGTCTCACGGATTAGCAGGTGAGACCCATCTTGATGGATGAGAATCAGGGCGGAGAGATTAGATGATTTGTGATTTGTGAATGCCACGTGTCATCCATCAGGGCGGGTCTCACCTGCTAACCGTGAGACCTGGTCTCATATAATTTTTTTCCGACCAGAACCAGTCCGTGGCATTTGTAGTCCTCGTCGCCTGGACCCCCTCGTCGGCTGGATCGGCTCCCCTCACGCGCCTCGATTGATGCGCGTCGTGCT